TATGTGGTTTTGGATTTTGTTTTTACTAAACACACTTAATTGTTGAAGTATTGGTATGGAAAGGATCTTAGAATGAAATTATACAAAAATAAACTATAAATAAAGTCTGTCTTAATTTTAGATTAAAATGAGAAAATGTTATACTTTATAATAGCATTAAAAATATAGGATAAAAAGAAAAATATTGTGATAAATTTAAAACATAAAATTTATGATGATTTACTTTTATCTCTTATAATCCATAAAAGTATTGAAGGTATAAACTGTTTCATATCGAATCATTTTAGTTTACAGTTAGTTTGAAATATAATGAACCAGTAGATCCTCATCTTTTTAACTAGAAGACTTGTTGAAGATTTTGATCCTGAAAAGATTGCTAATAAACCTTGTAATAATAATAATTTAACTGGTTCTTCAGGTAATAATATTATTACAGGTCATTTATAATTTATTAAAGATGAAGACCTTCAAATATTTATACAAATAGACAAAACTAAAATATTAAAATGTTTAGAAAAAACATTAGAAAAAATGTTTTATCCACCTTGTTTCTTTATCTGAATGGAAATCATTTGTTGTTACTGCTGTAAAAAAGTTATATTTAGACAAATTTAACATTTAAAATAGATATTGCATTTCTTACATTTATAGGTAAAGTTAGAGAAATTAAAAAGTTGTTATTACCGCAGTTGATAAAACAAGCTGTAATTTTGGATTTATATGTAAAGAAATTTTTCATAAGTTCTACTTAATGAAATTAATAGTTAAAATATTTATCAAAAATATAAATCAAAATACAAATATTACAAAATTACAGAAAGCTATTAAAATTAAATATAGGTAATGATTCTACATATTTAAATTTACCTCTTATGTATGTAACTCCAAAATTACGTAAAACACCTATTAAATTTAGGTTTATTACAAATTCAATAAATATTGTTACTTAACCCATCTCTGTTTGTTATGCTTAATAGAATTCTAGATTTGTTTATTCAATTAAATAAAATCACTGTCAAAAAAATGACTGATCATTGTTTTTGGATTATCAAAAACATTACACCAGTTTTGGAATGTATAGTTTCTGTTCTTAAATATGATATTACTATTTTATTTACTAAAATAGATTTGAAAGACTTGATAAGAGTCTTTAATGGTTTATGTTGGATATTCAAGACTTTAGTTTAAGAGTTATTATTTAGTGATTTAATATTTAATGATTATTTAGCTTTCATAATAAGAGTGTTAAAAGTTAATTATTTTGAAATTGATAGTTATGACAAATTTCGTTACATAACTGTACAAGTCATATGTTGTGAATGTAGTTTAATTGTTGTACCAGGCTTTTGTAATATTGTTGATGTCATCTTACTCAAAGCTTCTAAGTTTTTCTCGTTATGTGTAATAGTGTTGCTACTAGAGGGCTAGATACTTGTAGATTTTTCTGTCGTGTGTTATAAATACGTGCAGATACAAAGTGAAAGGAAAGCAAGTCAGTGAAAAGAAAGTGAAGTTAGACTGCATGATTGGCAGTTTAGCTGTAATGTGCAATTTATTAAGTGAGAGTTTCACAGTTTGTATTGTGACAACAGAGATAGAGAATAATAATTTGTCTTGTCAAAGGGTGTTCTAAAGTAATTGAACCAGACAATGTGGACGTTCGACATAAAAGAGAATTATTTGAAGTTCTGGATACAACTGTGGTAACCCATGAGGTAACATAAGTGATTTTATCACTGATTGTATTATGATAACAGAGGAAAGAAGAAATAATTTGTCAGCATTTGGGGTCTGAAGTAACTGAACTAGCCTCTGTGGACTTTTGACATAAAAGAGAATTATTTAAAGCTCTGGATACAACTGTGGTAATCCATGGGGGTAATGTAAGTGAACTTATCACTGATTGTATTGTAATAACAGAGTAGAGGAGAATAATTTGTCTTGCCAAAGGATATTCTAAAGTAATTGAGCTCACCTGTGTGGACTTTTGCAAAGAAAAAAAAAGACAATTATTTAAAACTCTGGATACAACCGTGATAACCAGTGGATTGTGTGCTGTCTGTTTATTGTTGACATTTATCACCAACAACACACAGACACCTGCTGTACAGAAAGGTGGCCCAATAAGAACCTGACAGTTTCATTGATTTATTTTTGGATGCTAATATAGTTATTTCTAAATACAGTTTCACTAAAATTCTGTGTAAAAATATACTTAATTTTTGTGTTTATAATAACTATATTGTTTTTAATGAAGAAAGTTTTAAAGAGATTATTGGTATTCCTATGGGATCCAATTTTTCTTTGAATGTGGTTAATTTATATATTCTATGAAAATACTTTTTTGGGCTGTTTAGAACACCTAGCTCACATGCTCCTACTTTCCATTATATTGATGATTTAATTTCTATTGATAATTTAAATTTTGATCTCTAAAATGTATCCAACAAAACTTGATAAGAACAAAGTGACAATACCAATTATAGAGCACATTATTTAGATTCTGATTTGGTTTTTGCAGAAGGAAGAGTACAATCAGTCATTTTTTAGTAAAAGAGCAGAATTTTCTTGTCATTGGTTCACCTTTCCCAAGTAACATGATTTCCTATGTTCTGTTGAAAGGAATAATTATTTCCTAACAAAAACAGTGTGTAACTGTTTGTATTAATAATACTTTATTTATACATATTGTTATTTGTAGATAAGTTAGTTTTTAATGGTTTACAAAGTGTGGGAAATTCATAAAATGTTTAACTCTTTTCTAATAAATATTACAATCTATTAAATAGTGAGTCCTTTATAGATGTTATGGTTATTTATATTTTCAATATGGGATCCTTGAGAAGAGTTAGTATTTGAAAGTATATCTAGATATTATAAATACTAGCTTTAAATTTAATTTTACCATTTGAGTGGTGACACATGCAGTATACCAGGCCTGGAAAGGCTAGCTTCAAGCAACGAAATTTGTCTCAAATAGCTCAGTTTAAACTTGAATAATATTTTTCAGTGAGAATTATTATTGAACTATTTAGGTGTTTTATAGTTCTTGTTATATTTTAATAATAGTCTATGGATGAAGGCTGGGTATTTAATAGTTGTAGATATTGTTGTTTATTAACAAATATTTCTACTATGATTCTAAAAAGCTTAATATTTCAATCACAATGAATTAATATATTTCTAAGGATAGCTACAATATGCACAATTGGCTGCAGCTGGTGAGTAGTAGTAGGGTTTGGGATGTTGTAGGCTCTTGCACCAAATTCTGGCCCCCATTTGATTATCCATGCTAGTTGTTTTGTTTTTCATATGTGGTTTTGGATCGTACCTGATAGATAGAACATCCTTAATACTTTTAGAAGCTATTGCTACAGACATTTTCCTTTAAAAATTATATTTTTTGTATTTTTCCATTTAAGTGATATAACTTAATTATCCTGTTTTGTCTTTGTTGTTAATGTGTTGATAGATAGTTTTTGACGGTTCTTGCTTAGATTTGGATTCTTTCTATTCTAATCATTCTAATATTTTGAGTTAGGAAAAGCATTTTCAAAATTTGTTTAAAATATTGTCTTGGAGAATTTGTTTTGGATTTATATTTTTCATCTTTACATATTTCTGATTTTTTTTCTGTATACTTTTGATGTAGATAAAAAATTAGACTATTTTCATTTGTGTTTATATATATATATATATATAAATATATATATATATCTAGTTATATAAGTATAAAAAAGACAGAATTTTAATGTCTAAAATTTCAGTAATGGTGTGGCTGGCACACACCAAAAATGTGGGATTTGACCATTACCTACCATCCTTTTTTGTGCTTTTGGTTCTTAAGCACAAAAGTGCACAATGAGCTTTACTCACCATGGGGATTCGCCCCTGATTTTTTTTGTAAGCTCCAAAGCTTACTGCTGAGACACGGGGGAGGGAGGATCTCTTTTTGCTCAGTACTTGCTATAATATGTAAAACATGATAAGGAGAAACCAGTGCATTGTTCTAACCTAGTAACATTAAAGACAACTCATGCAAGTGCAAGTTAATGAACCAAAAAACTATCTATTACCTTGTGAATTATCTTGTGTAGTTTTGTGAATTTATATGAGTATATAGAATATTGTACTTGAAATGTGTAAAAATATACTTGAATTATTTGGAGCCAATTGTAAGCATCTGTGTTTCAGTATACTAGAAATATTTGTACATGCTTTGAAATAGTTTATCTGAAGGATGAGCAATGATTCATCAGTTTGAAACTTAATTTGGAAGGAATCATTTTTTCTACCTTCTATTGAAGCTATTTTCTTTACAACAGGTTGAATAGACAAACAATTTGTATAGCTTTTTCTTGAAAAATTTGGTCACTTCGTGCTTAAAGTTGGTGTGACAGTTAATTTAGCTTTTAAAAGTTCTTCACATTTATCCTTCATTATAGGGCTGGCCTAAAATATGACTCATGTGTTATATTAGGTGGATATTCAAGCACTTATTTTTCTGGTTGAATACTTTGTTTGCTGGATATTCACTGAAGCGATAAAATTTTATGGTGAGATCTTTATTAGTATACAGCTGTGCACATTCAACCTTTAGTGAAGTTTGTGAAGTATAAAAAAGTAATAGCAAGATTTGCATTGTGACGCATATTACACAGTTAAGAGGCTACTTATTGTATTGGTTACTGTGCTGTTTACTCTATTGATGTAAAAAGTCTTTCTGGAAAAAAGGTACATATTATAGCCATTGGTAACAGTTGCTTTTGAGAATCATGGGGTTCTTGTATCATTTGAAAGGTTGTGCTGTTCAGAGTTCTTAAGAGCCCTTAGCAGATCACCTTCTAACAAAGTTTCTTAATTTTGAATCTAGTGATGGTAAAGAAACTAGGAACTATTATTAACATTGGCTTCATTATGTCCTGGTTGATCCTATCATGCATTATTAAACATTTAAAAATTGTTCAAACCATATTATGAATTTCACCATCATTTTACAGAATTGTTCTTGAAGCTGTTAGAGGTGTATAACATTCATGCAGCCCAACAAGATGGGAACATTATTCAGTACCTGTTCGTGTAACATTCTAGCTCAACTTATGACAGTGAGACTCAGATTTTTTATGTGCTCCATCTATGTGATGTGTATAATTTCCTTCTACTTCTTGGTTGTTCAGCAGCTGTACAAGCATCAATTAAAAAACGAAGTACCTTGGTTGAGGGGTCTTGTAAATGAAACACAACCGATACAGCAGGTATGTATGGGGATTATATGATACAAAAAATTAATTTAGTTAATTTGTTGAAACATTTCACTAGGAAATTAAATTGTTTAAGAGGGTTTTATTTATATATAATATAATTGCATTTTAATACAGAAGAAAAAGTTTACACCTGTCTCCTTACCTGGAACTGTACAATAATTTATACAAATCAGTCTAATGTTAATATCTAGAATGTTTTTTGTTTTTTTTATTCTGTATGTGTACAAGTATAAAAGCATTAATTATGATTTGCAAAAATGATTGGTAATGAAATATAGCTAGGCTCATTTAATCTAGACCACTCTTCTTCATTTAACAACCTCTGCTTGTAAACTACAGCGTGACGTATATTTGTATTTCAATAGATTGTAGATCTGGTACACCTTTCGTATGATTTAATTTTGAAATCTGACTTCCAACAACTAAAAATTTTGAGATTTGTACATTATTGTAACCTTGTTTAAATTTTTTGGAAATGCTATTTACAAATTGTTTGTTAGTATAAATTGGTGGCATCAAAATGAGCTGTTTGGAAACATTGTACGTAACCTTGTGACAGTAACAGAAGTGTATTTCTACATTATAGATTTTATTAAGTGCATAATACAACCACTGGATATAGATGTTTATTTTACTGTAGTTACAGATAAAATATCTTAACTTATTACATATGAAATGTTTTTACATAGCATTTCATGTTTGTTTGAAAAATATATCAAACAAAAATCAAAATGTATTTTATCACCATTTTTAAAAATGTCAATTGAAGTCCTGAAGTAATGATATCTGTGAAATGTACATATAGTCTTGATGAATGACTCCAGTGGAAATTGTTAGGCATATGATTGAAGTGTACAGAAAATTATAAAAGAAATCAGCTTAGAAGGCCTGTACTTGTGGTTTCACTGTTAGCTTCATACTTCTAACAGAATATATATGAATAAATTACAATATTGGAAATTATAACAAGTTTAAAATTTTAGGAAACATGGTATTGTTGAAATTCAGTGTGATACATAACCTCCATACACATAGTTCTTCTGATTCAGTGCTGCCCTTTATATGCATACTTTTTTGCTCACCACTTGCCTTGAGGATCCCACCGAAACTTGCATGGTTCCATGTGACATTGCTGTGTTGTTGCATTCAAGTAAACATGTGACAACTCTCCACCAATAGGAGTGTGACACACTGTTCTAGTGCAACTGACTTCTATACTGATCATTCAGTCATCACTTCTCAATTTAGTATTCATGTGTAAAGATGCCTTTTTTTCTGCTTTTGAACTTTTGAGATATAAGGCATTTTTTGTGAAAGTATCTACAAAACTAACTGTTGTGGAAATATTAAATTTGGATTTTTGTTTCCAAAATTTCTGCTTCTGCAGATGTTGTGGTCTTTTATTTTCACATTATTAATTCATAAGTGATAGTAACTTCCATTTTGTCTGAAAGTGGGACAACAAGACATTGTTTACTCTAGACTAACAATTAAAATGGCATCTTTTGATCCTGATATACCCATCCATGGTGACAAAGAGGATTTTGACATATTTTTTCCCACTAACTACCTTCTATCCATGCTGTCATGGATATCCCTAGACTTTTTTTAGTAATTTCAACACATGGTTTCTCATGTATGTTACTTTGTTTTTTTCCCTCTCTCTCCTTCACCTCTTATTTTGTTCCCTGCTTCTTACTTCTGTGTTTTTTCTTCCTCTCTAGATACAGATACTCATGTCCATGGATTCTTTTTTTCTCAAATTTGCTTGGGACAGTAGGGACCCATTTAGCTCAGTTTGCAGATTTTTGGTTGATCGTTGGGTGTTGCAGGTTTTGTCAGAGGACCTTACTCTTCATTTTTTTTACTACTCCTCCCTTGTCTGTTGTTCTTTTTACTTTTCCTCCTCCAAAGGATCCAGTTTATTGATAACATCTGTCAGAGGCAATGTTGGATCTGTTGGCTAAAGTTCCTATTGTTCTCCAGGATTTTGTTCCCATCTGTTGAGCAATTCAGAGCTTGGGATTGTGGGGACTGGCTTCTTCTAGCTTCATTCCATCTAGTCTCCTACAGCCATACTCTTTTCCTCCTTCAGGATAAATCCTGTCTTGGTTTATCAGTAAAGTCAGAGATGTCTCATCTCACACTCATTCCATATCTGTTTTTATTGGGGGGGGGGGGTGTTCTTCAGTTCTCATCACTGTAGGGCCCAAACTTTTCCTCTCTGTTTAAGGGACATGGCACAGTTGGTTTGCTCTGTTCTATCCTCTTATTTTTCTTTTGGGGACTTGGGCTTCCTAGGAATTTCTTATCTTCTTCGGCCGTGCTCACATACTCCATTCACGTTGGTACTGTGCATGATCAGTGGAACTCTCTTGGGGGGCTTTGTCCTCTATCATTCATCTTCGTCCTTCCCTGCACGTCGATTTCACCTGGTGGTCCAACAGAACAAATACCAGAGATAGATACCTACCCCTCTCAGACTTCACCCATCCTACCCACTTTTGTTGCATTTTTTCTTGCCTGATCTTGAAGTGATGGTTGAACAATCAGTATAGAGGGAGTCAGCTTTGCTAGGAGGGTGTGTTACACTTCTATTGGTGAAGGGTTGTCATGAGTTTAGGTTTGAGTCTCAAGGATAGTGGTGAGAGAAGAAGCTTGCATATAGAGGGCAGTACTGAATTGGAAAGTTATATGTGAGAGGAGGTCACATATCTATCTATCGGAAATACATTTTCATTGTTGGAAAATGTTAACTTTTGTTGATTAAAACTGACCTCAATTTGGCAATTAACAGACTTGGCTATATGTAATTGTTGTTCTTCCTCAACTTGACTAATTTTCACAAAGTTATCAGTTCTGATGGTAACATTACCTTTTGTAGATATATATAGTGTGTTACGCAATGAGTTCTCAAGTATACAAGGAATATGATTTTTATTCAAATGAATAACCACCTGATAATGGAGTTTGTATATTAATCTTTTTTTTTAGGGTGATAAATAGCTACCTATTCTTTGTTGTGATATCCTTAAAATGAAAAAGTAACATTACAACAGGTTTAAATATGTAGCCAATTTGCTTCTGTGGAAACAGTCTTCCTAGGATTGTAAATAATGTATTTCTTAATCTATTGAGATTATTGTCTTGCATATGTTAACACTACTGCTGTATATTTATTAGACATGTCAAAGTTTAATATTTTAGAGGTAACAGTATGTTCAACATTTCACTAATTTTACTATTAATGAAATTACTGTTAGATTCATTTCTTTTTCAAATTATTTTATGTTACTGCTTCAAGAAACAGGGAATAACTGCATATAAACATGTAGACACAAGTCACAAGACTTTTCACTAAGTTAACTTAAAAGGTACATTTTAATCTTGAAAAAGGGAGCTTATATATACCTTACTGATTATATACCAGAGTATCTGAAAATGGTAAACTGGTTTAATGTCAACATTCAACTGTGCACTTTATACTATGGTGTTTAGTGCATAAAAATATTAGAGGAATTTCTCAACATAATTTTGAATTGAAAAATGGTAAACTTTCATCAACATTTCTACAGTGAAATGCTTAGATTTCAATAGGACATTCTTCCATCAATTTTGTTTCAAGAACAGATTAGCCATAGCAAATATAAGCTTTGAATTATTTTTGAAATAAGTCTAAAATATAACCCATGTGCTAATACTCTTTTTTTTTAAGATTATTAAGTTGATAAAATGACAAAAAATTGTAGTTTTGCACTTGTTTTCCTTTGGTTCTCTGTTGAGACACTTGAAGGATTGTTCTGTAATATCTGATACTGAGAAAAATTTTGATACTGTGAGAACTAGAACTCATTAGTGACCATTTGTTGTCTTTTCATACCTTTATAATTCTAGGGTTAAAAACTTTCAACTTACTATAAGAAGATTACAAAGCTCGTACTGAATTTGTAGAGCATACTGATTCAGTTATAGCAAAGCCAGGAAAAGGAAACATGATAGTAATTTTAATGTAATAAACAACTGTAAGCAAGAACAAAGTGAAAAATGTGACACTTGAGTGGTGTAATATAGTATCACTATTAGTGATAAACATGTTTGTGTATAGTAACATTCTTATCTGTGCCATATTACTATAAACTCCACAAGTATGACTCTACAGTGATGGCATAGAATTAAAATGGAACTATAAACATTATGGATGCTTCATCAGCAGGTCTGATTCCTTGTGTGAAATGTCCTGTATGTATAATTAAAATTTACAACATAGTTATTTGTAACTATAATCTGTCAATCTCGTGAATGAACAAAACTTGCATAAGTCTGATCAATCAATTAATATATAGTTTCAAATATTTTAATGCTTTTGATATAGAACTTAACATGTACAATTTTGAAGCACATGCAAAAATAATACAATGTGCTCTGGATCAGTGGATCATTTTGTTAATGTGTGCAGTTGTTTTATATATATCAGAAGTATAAATTTACTGCAGAGTGATTAGTAGCTGAAAGTTTTATACATTCTTGTGCATTTACACACATCAGAAAATAGTGCTTTAACAAATACTTGATGTATAAGAAGTGTATTTGTTAAAAGAATATTTAATCTTACAACAGTAAATATGTTAAATATGTAAATGTTAAAATCTATAGCGTTATTTATGCTGGGATAACATTTCTGTGATTTAAATCAAAATTAAAAAATTCGATTAGTATACACTGTCATAAACAAATGGATAAATTGCCTTTGTTTTATATCTTCTGATAAAATATCAGTAGTTAGAGATTGGCATGACAGATTGGCTTTTTTTTTTTTTTGCGCTCTTTACAAAAGGATAATATGCTACTGTCTGAAGTAAATAACACTAGTGACAGGCATGAACAAAAAAAAAGGTTTTACCAAATTCCCCATAAAAATATTCTGACGTATTGCCAATTTTATTATTTTACAATGTAGTCGTCTATTTTTATTGCACAGTTATTTCCTTGTACATATGATTTTACTTGCAAGTTGTTTCATTTTGAAGTTGTATCTTATTCCCAATGCTTCATGTGTCTTTATGATAAGTTCTTTCTGGTCTGTCTGGAACATTTTTGTTAAGAAATCTCAAATTGTATCACAACCAATGTATAAGTAGTAATAGGTATTGATTACATTACTTGTCATAAGACATTAGTATTAGCACGATTATATTTTTATACACTATGTTCTTAATCTAGTCCTTTAGGGATTTTTAAGAATTAGAAGTGTGTACAATAATACTATTTCAATCACACTATATTTGTCATATCCATTGCCCAAAACGCGTTTCATCCAGTCCAGGGTTCATCAGGCCAGCTGGGATGCAACAAACACAGCAGTGGTCAGAACACTACTTATATAAGCCATTTGATACAACAGCAATTGTTATGGTGTGTATGCTGTTTACAAGCTGGCAAATAAAGATTGTAATGATTATCCTTAAGAGTAAAAGTCTTATTAGAGTATACGTTAATTTTCATTTCTTTATCTTGTATGATACATCTGTCCCTTTTGCACTAATGCTTATTGATATTATATATTTTGGTAACCAACAAAAGGAAGTTGGAACTTACTGTGCCACCTTGACTTGCATATTTAAAAGTATAAAATTAATTTGTCGTGTGAAAACTGGCTGTCATTGTTAAGGTTCTTTTAAAGCACCTTATTGATGTGAAGAATTGGAAATTAAACCCAAAGATGTGTCTTTCTAAAGTTTGGTTTAGAATAAAACATCCCATTTTACCAAAAGTTTTGTAAAAGCTATGACTGTATAGACAACCTTCCTATTCATTTGAAATTTAAAATGCATATATTGCAAAATAACACCCATGAGATCACAACACTAATTACTTGTTTTGAGCTGTGAAATTGTTTTCAATGAATTTGTTTGGTAGAGGTGAACCAGTCATTTTATTGCACTCTTTGATATTGAACAGAAAAAAACAAACTGGAGATGTGAGTTTAATAATCGTTTGTGTCTTCATTGTTGTTGGTTTTTTCTACTATTTTAAATGGAGATGTTGAGATTTAGTTTTTCTGTAAGTTTCAGAAAATATATTTTGTTTTTCAAGGTTTCATTGAATTACACAAGAAATTACATAAATGAAATTAATGTTTATCCTTTAGTAAAGAACCTTCATAAAAATTGAAGAAATAAGTTTGATCTTTTTCGAAATGCCCTCAGTATTTACAGCAATATTATGTTATCTTTTTTAATGCTTTGTTTTTTTTCTGTAATCTTTTCATGGTTTAGACATTTTAAAATAATTTTTGCAGTATTGTTCCATTATCATCTGGACTTAATTAGAACCTCAAATATTCCTTGAAAATGAAGCTTTTATTTGCAGTAGCTTACTTAGATTTTATATAATCTGATTTGACTGAAGGTTTATTAGCAAGTTACAAATCATTGTCAGTTTTAAGGGGAAAAAAAGTGAATATCATTGATATAAATTTTAAGAAGATATGTTTTTATAAGTTAGTTGTCAAGGGCATCAGTTTTAATATAATATTATAAATTCATGATTGGATTAAAAACCATACTTTATAACAATGTTGATGGTAGTGACTGAGTATGCAGGATGCCCAGTGAACTTATATTATGAGAATTGAAATTCATTAAGATTCCAAACGAAGAAATTTTTCATCAAAGAAAATGATAAGTTAAAATGGAGTATAAACATTGCATAAGTAAAAATAGAAGAATAATGTTAAATTTTGATAAATGAACAACTACACATTGGTAACATATTTTTCAGATGTGATGATTATTTGGTTTATGTTGAGAATGATCTGTCAATCTTGCTGTGGTTGGTATATTTGGTCATTTTGTGCATGACTTGGGAAGGTCATGTATTGTTTAGACCTTTTTCTTCCTCCTCTACAATTGTGGATGTTTACTTTCAAATGCTATATTAAGAGATAAGGGCACATGTATTGGCTTATGTATCATTTATTAAGTTTTTACTTTAATTTTACTAGTAATTCCAGCAAAAAAGGCTAGAGTAAATACATAGTTCCCATCCTCACATGAGCTATATGTTTTTAGTGGAAATATTAATGGTTCCTATCCACTCATTTTTACCATTATGTATTTCATCTTAAAGAAACTAATCAATATCCAAAATGTTTGAAGAATAAATAAAGTACCAAACACTTGTAAAAGAAAAAAAGTATAAAGAATAAAACAAGGTAATAAAAGTAAGCAAAATATAACAAAAAGGATAAAGTAGGTGGTAGAGATGTATGTTCTTAGGAGTATCCAGTTAAAGATAAGAATATGCACATTTTAGAGATTTTTAGATAATTTTTATAATTCTTCTGAATATTAAACTCTACAAACTTCACAGTTATTTGTTTGAAATTAACCCTATGATTGTCCCACAAAATAAAACAATGAGTAAAAATACTACGTAAGATGACTACATGATAAATTTAGTACTGATGACTTAAATTTGAATCACATCTCAGTTTAATTTTAAAAATATAATTTGTTATATTGGGGACATTTTGTAGTGAATTTGAGGACTTTTGTTCAAGGGAAACCGTTTAATTTAATAAGACCTGTAAAACTTAAAAGCATTGTCTGTAATGTGACTTTCTGAAAATCACTAAGTCACGTACAAGGCAAGAATTGCAAACTATACTGATTAAGATTGTTCATTTGTTGAGCTTGCTTTTGTGTTTTTTCCTTCACTTAAAAACTCAGCATAAGTTATGTTATGAAATGCCTCACTTTCTAGTTATATAGGCTGACTTAGTTAAATCTTTACATCTTTTCAATGGGTGAGTGGTCCCGAAGTAACTACAACATTCACCAGATGCTAATATTAAAATAAATATGTTTTCAGGTGCATCGTTCCTCCAAATTGAATGATCAGTTAGACTTATTGGAACTAGAACTACAAAAACAACTTAGGTCAAATGAAGAACTGCTGATAAAACTACGTTCTTTGAAGAAGAGTAAGTTGTTTTGGTTATTTAACCATAACTTTTAAGATACATGTAAGTACAGCGTTTAAATGTAGGTTAAAACTCGATGTATCTTAGTTATTTCTAAAGAAATTAGGAAATTATTTTCAGAAGAGTTGTATTTGTAGGTGTATTTTTTTATAGATAATTTTAGATAGATAGATAAAAGAAATTAAGCTGTGTTTGGTTTTGATGTTTTATATCCAGATTGACAGAAGTTGAATTAAAAACCTTTTAGTATGGAAACATTTGTTTCTATTATATTTTGGTTACAACATTTTCAACAATATATAATCGACTAAGAAGCTATAGTTTACTACAATTATTGAACATATTTTATTAATTGACATGAGGTACTTAAATGATTCAGTTGTATTTTGTCCACTAGTTCTCAAGTGTTAATTTTTTTAATAGAAATTACCTTTTTCAAAATAATCTATAATGAAATACCTGCAAAAAAAACACTGCTCCATTAGGTGCAATTAGACACATGATTTTAGTTGTATCCACAAATTCTGGCTGTGCTCACGTCCAAACAGTTATGTATCTGTAATACTTTACATCTTTATCCATTTAATTGGTTTTATTGGATGCAATCCCAAAGTTTTGCATCCTAGGATGCAGGCTACTTGTTTAGGGGGCAAGTGAAAAAGCATCTGCCAAGGTCTGTCTCTTTGGAATTTCTGTTGAATATAGCACAGCATGAGAACTTAAAGAGGTTGGTAAAGCAAATACTAATGTCACAACTATCAACTTCAGTAGCAATCACATGGGTTGGTCCTATTTTAGAAACCTAGTTAATTAACTTTATTTATCAGCTCTTGAAGCAATGGTGTTCAAATAGTAATCAGAAATTTTTCAAGGTTAGGATATTCAAAAGTTGAAATATCTCACCCATTATCCTGTACAAACATTTTTTAATCAGCAGTAAAGGTCATTAGTATGTGAGATTGTTCAATATAAAAGATAATTACATCGACTGACTTAAATATACAGTATAGCTTTAATGCTATGTTATTTTTTTGTTTCATAATACTTAAATTTTCCATTTTCTGAAGCTATTTTTTGTTGCTTTATGATCCATTTTATTTTCATTGTATTCTTGCTGTTCTGTATTTTCTTTGATGATTGCTAAGTACTTGAAAGTAAATAAAAAGATTTAAAGAAAATTATAGCCTGATATAAGGTAGTAAGTGTTAAGCATTTTCCCATTAAAGACACATACAGACAAAAAAACTAGTAATTATAAAACATAAAATATTTAACCATCAGTGTTTACAATAAGATCGAAGAACAGCAAGAGTATAAAAGTAATAATGCGATACACATTTGGTCCTCTGTTGTGACTTGTATTCATATATGGTATAGATACCATAGTGTCACAAACTATAAGATTACAAGCTTGTGTAATCATACTAAAGTAGTTTTTCTGTTATATCTGTATGTCTTTATCTGTACAGACATTTGGCTTACTTCTTGAAATTCAAAGGTGTCCATTTTTTATTAAAATTAGTTTATGTATCTTTTTAAAGGTAAAAACCTGTTTTTTTAAATAAATATTTACCATGAGACTTGAGTTAAAGACTTTGTTTTTTCAATCACTTTACTGCTCAATAGTATTTAATGGAGTAATAGCAAAAATATCATCACAAAAAGGTAGGCAAAGCCCAGTGAATGCCAATTCCAAAATTTTACTTATTTTTTTTATGTAAATTGATACCAACAGGACATTATTGTATGTAAATTTTCTTTGTCTTCGTTTATTTTTTTATTTTAATATTGGACAGGAATTTTGATTTATTTTGATACTCACTTAAACAATAAGAAGAATAGAAGCTATAACACACTAGCAAGATGGTTCAACCCTTAATAGAATAGAAGCCATAACACTAGCAAGATGGTTCAACCATTAATAGAATAGAAGCTATAACACACAAGCAAAATGTTTCAACCATCAATAGAATAGAAGCTATAACACTAGCAATATGGTTTAACCATCAATAGCAACACTATAATCATTTTCACGTGCAGTCTTAATTGATGAAATAATTAGTCCAGGTTTTTGAAAATATGTATTGCTCATTACTTTTTGTATTGTCATTGTTTATTATATTTGTATGTCTTTCCCGAATCATTATTATATATATTTTGAAGCTTTTTCTAAAAATTTTAGTTTTTCTTAACTGATTAGGTTTCCCACAGCAGAATCATGTGTGAATGTTTATTTACATCAGTTTCAAATGCAGTTTTTTGTTTCTTTTTTTCACAGATTACACAGGTTTGATACAGCATTGTTTTACATAGTTTTATCTAGGGTTCTTTGACCATTGCAGTGTTGTAGATTCCCAATAGAATTATTTGTGGTTGATTTCTCAAACATCAGTGACCTTTTTCTAGTTTAATAGTTCCTATTATCTTTAGGAAGCCAAACTCTATATTATGTATGAAGTGAAGAAGTAAAAATAAATCAATACACATAATATGAAATTTGGTAATACACATTCATAGAATACACTAGCTTTGAGTTAGGTGGAAAAACTTCACAAAAGATTTTGTAAATGTAAAACAATGTAGGGATGGTAGTGCCAAAAAGAATGCAAACATGAATATAGCGATGATACAGCTATACATTTTGCATCTGTTCTTACCTCACTGTAGGTGTCCTCAACATTAGGTCCCAAGAAGTCAAGATTATGATCAATGATAATTAATAATCTATTGTAGCCAATTGTAGGGTATAATATCAATATCTGAGGTCATTCTACAAGAGCAATGAAGAAACTGATATGATATTAACAATATATATTTTACCATTGAATTGTAAAAATAAAACAAATGTTCACTTATCAATGAAAGTGTTTAAAAAAAAGGGGGAACAAGTAATAAAAAGAATTTTGCAAAAATTAAGTATGATGTAGGTATGGCAATGCAGAAATGAGGTAGGGATAAATACACAAAACCATACAAAAGTCACTACATAAGTAGCCAAATCTTTCCAAGAATGTTGAATTAATGTCAGTTGAATAAAAGCATTTAAACTAAATAATGCTATACAGTCTTACAGTGGCTAATAACCATAATCTCATAAGATTGACTCAGTACTTACTGGCTACTTATGTGGGGATTTTTGTATGGTTTTGTGTATTCATTCCTACTTTGTTTTTGTACTTTTTGCATTGTCATCCCTACATCATGCTTAATTATTGAAAAAAAAAATGTTTTATTACTTGTGTACTTGTGTGTTCCATGCTAACATTAAGTCTACGCAATAGGGCATATGTTTACATGTTTCTTGGCCACCTGCTGGTTTGCATTAGAATAAACTACCTGTATGTTTTACCACCTGCTGTCCTGCAATATCAAAATACACTACATGTTCCTTGGCTACCAAATGGTTTGCATAATGAGAAAATGCTTGGCTCCCTGTTAGTCTACATAATAAAATAACAGTTGTGTATATTTGTTTACAGTTGGTCTAATCAGCATAAAGTATACATCAAAATGTTTACTGATTGCTTGATGATCATTAGTATCTTTCAGAAGTTTTTATTCTGTTTTGAATAATATAGTAATAGAACTTTATGGCCATCTTTTGTTATTCATAATTAGGATATTGTTGAACATTCCCTGCCTTGGGAGACTGACACTGGACTTAAAGAAGCTCTGTTGTTATTTCTTGCATACTTCTGTCTTACCTGATTAGAGTTACATGATTTTTAACTTGCTGATGGTGAAGTAATTTATACAAAATGAGTTTCTTTGTATGTTTACTTAGTAACACAAATAAAAAATAATAATTTTTGTATGAAATTTAATAAAGCATTTTTTTTTCTTTAATATCTGGTAACACTTTTAACCCAGTTCTTTTTTTTTTTACTAATCCTTAGTTTAAGGTTTCTAATGCTGTCTTTTTTGTAGAAAATATTGCTCAAGAAAAGGATTCCAAGTCTGAAGAAATTATCAAGGAAAGCAACAGTACATCAGTCAAACCCAGCCCGATAATTGGTGTATTAGTTTTTTCATGCAACCGAATAACAATTAAAAGAAATCTAGACCAGTTATTAAAGTAAGTTTTATTTACATTGTAACTACATAGTCTATAACCAAATTCAATAAGTTGTAATTTTAAGTCACAGAATATTTTTAGCTATTGAACTAAAGTATATGTGTTATAAGTTAACATATTTTCAAATGTATGAACTGGCAATTCCATGTTGCTTTATTTGTTTACTTACTGATTAGAATAATAATTATCATCTTTTAACAATGTAATAACTTGCACAACATTTTCAGGCTTTTTTTTCATGATAGAGAGGCCCCCCAGTGGCACAGCGGTATACCTGCGGACTTACAATGCTAGAATTTGGGTTTCAGTACCCGTTGTGGGCAGAGCACAGATAGCCCATTGTATAGCTTTGTGCATAATTACAAACAAACAAACATGATAGAGAGAGGAAAAACACTAGTAATTTCATAAAGAATTTAATTTGTAGCCTCCATATAGAAATACCTTAGATAATTATGTAAGTTGGGTTGATGGACTGTGTTATAGTTTTAAAAAGACAGAATGATATTCAAAATAAAAATAAAATGAATTATTACTTGACTGTCAGTGATACTATAAACTTTTTCGAGTG